ACATTGTTTGATTTCTTGACTGCTGCTTCCATGGGCATTGATTGCGGATCCAAGTAAAATGAAATCCTTGACAACTTCAATCTCTTCTCCATTTATCATGATGTTCCTTATTCGTCTAGTGAGGATTTTTGTTTTTCTTATGTTGACATGTAATTCTTACTGAAGACTGTAATCTTTGATCTTCATCAGTAAGAACTTCAAGTCCTCTTTGCTTTCAGAAAGCAAGGTTGTGTCATTTGCACATCACAGGTTGTTAATGAGTCTTCCTCCAATCTTGATGCCACATTCTTTTTTATAGTCCATCTTCTCAGATTATTTGTTCAGCGTATAGATTGAATAAGTATGGTAAAAAGATACAACCCTGACACACACATTTTCTGATTTCAAACAATGAATTTTCCCCTTGTTGTGTTCAAACAACTGTCTCTTGGTCTTTGTAAAGGTCCCCATTGAGCACAATTAAGTGTTCTGACAGTTCCATTCTTTGCAATATTATCCATATTTTGTTATGGACATAGGCTCGAATGCTTCTGCATAGTCAATAAAACAAAAGTCAATATCTTTCTGCTAGTCTTTGCTTTCAGCCAGGATCCATATGACATCAGCAATGATATCTCTAGTTCCAAATCCTCTTCTGAATCTGGCTTGAATTGTTGGCAGTTTCCTGCCAATGTATTTCTGCAACTGTTTTTGAATTATCTTCATCAAAACTTTACTTGTGTGTGAAATTAATGACATTAATAATTTCCATATTTTATTGGATTACATTTCTTTGGAATGGGCATAAATATGGATCTCTTCTAGTCAATTGGCCAGGTAGCTGTGTTCAAAATTTCTTGGTATAGACGAATGAGTGCTTCTGGTGTTCCATCTGTTGGTTGAAATAACTCAGTTGGTATTCCCTCAATTCCTGGAGCCTTGTTTTTCACTAATGCCTTCAGTGCAGCTTGGACTTCTTCCTTCAGTACCATCAGTTCTTGATCATAAGTTACCTCCTGAAATGACTAAATATTGACCAATTTTTTTTTTTTTTTTGTACAGTGACCTTATGTAGTCCTTCCGTTTTCCTTTGATGTGTCTTGTGTCATTCAATATCTTGCCCATAGAATCCTTCAATATTGCGATTCAAGGTTTTATTTATTTTTTTCTTCAGTTCTTTCAGCTTGAGAAATGCTACATGTGTTCTTCCCCTTTGGTTTTCTAACTCCAGGTCTTTGCACATTTCATTATAATATTTTACTTTGTCCTCTCAACTGACCTTTGAAGTCTTCTGTTGAGTTATTTCCATTCATAATTTCTTCCATTCACTCTGGCTACTCTACATTCAAGAACAAATTTCGTAGTCTCTTCGGACATCTGTGTTGGTTTTTTTTTTTTTTTCTCTCTCCTATCTTTTTAATATCCTTTTGCTTTTTTCATGCATGATGCCCTTGATGTTGTCCCACAACTCATCTAGCTTTTAGTCATTAGTGCTCAGTGTGTCAAATCTGTTCTTGAGATGATCTCTAAATTCAGATGGGATGTATTCAAGGTCATACTTGGACTCTGATGGACTTGTTTTAATTTTCTTCAGCTTGAGTTTCAACATGCATATGAGAATTTGATGGTCTGTTCCTCCGTCTTCCCTTGGCCTTGTTGTGACTGTTGATATTGAGCTTCTCCATCATCTCTTTCCACAGATGTAGTTGATTTGATTCCTTTACACGTCATTAGGTGAGGTCCATGTGCATAGTATTTGTTTATGTTGTTTAAAAAAGGCATTTTCAATGAATAAGTTGGTCTTGCAAAATTTTGTCATGCAATCTCTGATGTAATTTCTACCACCAAGGCCATATTATCCAAAGAGTGATCTTTCTTCTTTGTTTCCAATTTTCATATTCTAATCACCAATGATTATCAATGCATCTTGATTGCATGTTTTGTTCATTTTAGACTGCAGAAGTTGGTAATAATCTTTAATTTCTTCATCTTTGGCTTTAGAGGTTTGTGTATAAATTTGAATCATAGTCACATTAACTGGTCTTTCTTGTAGATCTATGGATATTATCCTAACACTGACAGCATTCTAGGAGCTCTGGTGGTGTAGTGCCTAAGGCATTTGACTGCTAACCAGAAGGATGGCAGTTCAAACCCACCAGCTACTCCATGGAAGGAAGACTGGGCAATCTACTTCTGTAAAGATTTACTGCCTTGGAAACTGAAAGGGGGTCGCTGTGGGTCTGAATCAATTCAATGGCAGTGAGTTTAGGTTTTTTTTTTCCTCAACCTGAGGGCTCATCTTTCAACACTATATCAGACAGTGCTATGCAGCTTTTCAAAGGTTTTCATTAGCCCATTTTTTTAGTAGTAGATCTTCAGGTCTTTCTTCCTAGTTTGTCTTAGTCGGGAAGCTTCACTGAAAACCTTTCCACCATGTGTGACCTTGTTAAAATTTGAAACACTGGTGGCATAGCTTCCAGCATCACAGCAACACACAATCCACCACAATACAATGACCAGACAGGGCTGTGGTGGACATTTCTACTGGGATGCCTCTTTTAAATTTTATTTTTTTGGGGAAGGGGCATACTGTACAGCAGGAACCCTGGAGGATATTTAAACAGGAAGATATCCCAGTGAGCATTGAAAGAGTGGTGTTGTGAAAGTTGGATTGGACTTAGGAATTTGGAAATCCTGCTTTAGACTTCATTAGTTGGGAAAGGGCAAGGGAAAAGGAGGCTATGTTTACTGAATATCTGCTGTGTGCCAGAAATGCTAAACTTTACTCAGATGCATTAATACACACCATGCAATCTGTCAGGCAGATTTTCTGGAATTTTACAGATGGGGAAATTGGACCTGAGAGTACAAAGACAATTTTCTCAGGGTCATATAGTAATAAATAATGGAATGAAATTTGAATCCAATTATATTTTCACTCTAAACCTCATAGTTTTCTCAGTATTTTGGAGGGGCTTGGGATAGTAAAAGAACAAAAGAAATTTGAGAACTTTAGTAAGTATATTTTACTAGACGATCTGTAGAAGTGTACTAGAAGGTTAGCTTTCACAATTCAGACCAGGGTTTGGAAAGCCCTTAATTCACTTTTCAGTTATAGTTCACCTACTTGACTGTGTTTAATGTTGGACCTCCTTAAACCCAACCCAGAATTATCTTCTAATTTCTTACACATGTTCAAACATCTTCTTCCTATAAATTTATAGATACTGAAAGAGACATTTGAGTTAGACATTAGGGAAAGGATGAGTTCACTAAAGGTCAGGGACATACAAATTCCTAATGGAATGGAACCAAGTAATGATAATGAGAAAAGTATAAAGTGTTCTGTAAGTTATTTGCTTTGAAGGAAAAATGACAAATTGTGCAGGTATTTTCTTTATAAAAGTATTACAGGGATTCCAAGAGATGAGAAGTATGTTAAAATAAGTATTCACTGAGTACTGCATGCCTTACATTCATTTAAGTTATGTGACACAAATTGGCGCTTATTGTTGGTTTCCCCTTGCATACTATTCCCATTGGAAATGACCTTCATTTCTAGGTTTTTGCTTTGCACTTGGCCTCCTGTCCAATAAATTGTGATGACTCCTAATCCTTGGTTAAATATAAATAATAAGAATTCAGAAAAAAAGTCAGAGAGGGAGGTAAGGTGGCTTCTTTACTTGGGCATTATATGTAGCAACTGAGTTATGTATCAATAGCTCCTCCCCTAGTACACCCACTAGTAGGGAAATATGAAAATAACTTAGGACTTGTGGTCTGCAATTCTACTCACCCTGAGATTCAGAGCCAGCCAGAATGGTTGCTCCAAATCCACCTTGTGGTTAAATATTAAACTGCTGTTGTCTCAGATTGGACCAGAGGTAAATATTTGAAAAGTGCGTTTCATACCATTTAGCAAGGTCTGGCTAGGGTGAAGCAGTGGCAAGGACCCAAAGCTCAGACTCCAAAACTAAGGTATTTCAGGGAGAAATCTGAGAGAACTCATCCGCCTAAAGATAAAGCCCTTTGTCCTGAGGATGGCTGGTAGGAGACTGACGAAGGTTGTGGGTGGGGTTCAAGTAGTTCCAAAAGTGTGGAGGGAGGGTATCATCTTGCTAGTTCCATTATGCCCTGAGGCTACTGCTCTGTGAAAGGGAACAGAGTAAATGCTCTTCAGCTTAAGGCTGTTTCTTGTGGGTTGCTCTACCGCAAAGCTTGGTTGGGAACAAAAAAGGTAAAGCCAAGGGCAGAGCATTTGGAAAAATGAGGAGGAAGGACCAGTGGATAAAAATTAATTAACTAAGGCGTTTGACTGCTAACCAGAAGACTAGCAGTTCAAACCCACCAACTCCTCAGAAGGAAGATTGGGCAATCTATCCTGTAGTGATACTGCCTCAAAACCCAAGGAGGGGTCACTATGAGTCGGACCCAACTCGAAGGCAGTGAGTTTGGTTTTGGTTTATAGTCTTAACTATGCTGATTCTTAACTCAGAAATCCTGGGATCAAAATCCTACTCTAACTAGCAGTCTAGTTGGGAATAAGTAGGCTCACCTCTTTGAATCTCAAACTACTAATCCATAAAACAGAATAGGAACTTTTCCTTGCCTGGGTATAATAAGCACTTAATGAGATGATGTTCATAGTATCATTCTTTTGCACAATAAATACTAAATGTATAGTAGGATTTCATAATGTTTCATTTAACAATGAACGACAAGTGCTTGCAATGTGTCACCTACCCAAAGAAAACAAAGGTTGACAGTCCAGAGTGCAGAGACACTTTTAAATGAGTAATGACTGCTGTATAGTAAGTGTAATGTTATTAACAAATTGCTAGCTAAAGTCTAGAGAGTTTAACTTGCTCAGTTTTTCTAGAGTAGGGCTGGTATTTGAATCCATTGTGTCTAATTCTATAATCTATACAATTTCCCCAGACAAGGTTGAAATTCTACCTATCCAGTCTTCACATAAAAGCAAAACAGGAAAAGGAAATCTCCTCTTTGTTTCTTTAATCTAGGTGTCTGGACATTAGCCAACATTATCCTAATGGTAACCATTGTCTTTGAGAAGGGAGAATGTGCTGGGCCTCCAGGGCTTCCAGGACCTCCAGGACTTCCAGGTCCCAGTGGGCCTCCTGGGGCAATAGGTAAGAAATAGATTTCTTCTACCTCTTCTTGTTTGTCTCTCTTGCTTTTTTTACTTTTTTTGGCAGAAGCCATAGTCCTCACAGACTCAACAGCATGAAGCATTAAGGATGGAAAGAATCTGGGAAAAAATGATCAGTTATAGGATTGGGTCCCAAGGTAGAGTGACAACTCCAGAGAGGTTAAGGGAGAGTGGCCTAGTTTTAGTGAGGGATGTGAGATCCATAGGGTGAGTCATGGTGGGATCAAGTGCCTTAAGTTGATTCAGCATGATGAGTCTAGGTAGACAGTCTGGTAAACAGCAAAGAAAGGGAGATTTATAAGCTTAGCAAGGCACCGTGTGCCATTAGATGAATTAGATCTGGACTGGTGATCTGGACCCAAACCAGTTATTATGAAAAGATAACATTAAGTGAGCATCTGAATATGGCAACAAGGATCTTCCTAGATCCTGCCCTGGTTACCTAGGGCTTCTTTTCAGCTAAATGAGCATGGATCAAGAGGAGACACTCATGAAAGCTCACATTCAATTCAGTGTGGTCTCTTGTGGGGCCATTGGTCAGTATTAAATTTGGTGAACCCAACATTTTCTGGTCCCCAGGATTAGGTACCCAAACCAAACCAAACCCAACCCACTGCTGTTGAGTCGGATCCAATTCATAGACACCCCTCCTTGGGTTTCTGAGGCAGTATCACTATGGAAGTACATTGACCAAACTTCCTTCCGAGGAGCAGCTGGTGGGTTTGAACCTCCAGCCTTCTGGTTAGCAGTCAAGTGCCTTAGGCACTATGCTACCAGAGCTCCCTGATTAGCTCTAGGCAGCCTAAAATCATTCACAAAACTTGGTGGTGGTGGTGGTGGTGTTAGTTTCCATCGAGTTGATTTTGACTCATGGAGATCTCAGGTGTGCAGAGTAAAACTGCCCCATAGGGTTTTCAAGGCTGTGACCTTCAGAAGCAGATCACCAAGCCTGTCTTTTGAAGTGTCTCTGGGTGAGTTTGATCCATCAAGGCTTTGGTTAGTAGTTGAGTGCTTGATGGTTTCACTATCTAGAGACTCTTAGTCTCACCCAAATCAGGGTGAATAATATATAAAATCAGTGTCATTACTATAACCCAAACCCACTACAATCAAGTCTATTCTGACTCACAATGGCCCTGTGGGACAGAGTAGAACTGTCCCATAAGATTTCCAAGGCTGTAAATCTGTATAGAAGCAGACTGCCTTGTCTTTCTTCCACAGAGCAGCTGGTGGATTTGAACCCCCAACCTTTTGGTTAGAAGCCCAGTGTTTTAACTGTTTAATCCACAGTGCCACCAGAACTCCTTGTCGTTACTACAGTATAAGGAAATCAATTTGTTCTGCCTTTGCTATTACATTCTCCTAAAGTATCCCAGAAAGTACAGAGTCTTATCAAGAAGCTAGAGGTCAAAAGAAATTATAATAATAGGCAACATTTGTGAAGAGCTTGGCATTTGATAGACACTATGCTAAGTACTATGGAAATTATCGAACAATACCATTAATATCACATACAAGTAAAATTTTGCTGAAGATAATTCAAAAACTGTTGCAGCAACATATTGATGGGGAACTTCCAGATTCATAAGAGGACATGGAACAAGGGATATCATTGCTGATGTCCGATGGATCTTGGCTGAAAGCAAAGAATGCCAGAAAGATTTACTTGTGTTTTACTGGCCATGCAAAGGCATTTGACTGTGTAAATCATGACAAATTTTGGATAACATTGATAAGAATGGAATTCCAGAACACTTAATTGTGCTCATGAGGAACCTGCACATAGACCAGGAGGCTGATGATCAAACAGAACGAGGGGGGGATGCTGTATGGTTTAAAATCAGGAAGGAAGTGCATCAAGGTTATAGCCGCTCACCATACTTATTCAACCTATATGTTGAGCAAATAATCTGAGAAGGTGGACTATATGAAGAAGAACATTCATCAAGATAAGAGAAAGACTCATTAACAACCTGCAAATTACAGACGACACAACTTTGCTTGCTGAAAGTGAAGATGACTTGGAAGGCTTAATGATGAAGTTTAAAGACCACAGTCTGCAGTATGAATTACACCTCAAAACAAAGAAAACCCAAATCCTCACAACTGGACCAACAAGCAGCATCACGATAAATGGAGAAAATATTGAAGTTGTCCAAGATTTCATATTACTTGGTTCCACAGTCAACATGAACTGAAGCAGCAGTCAAAAAATCAGATGATGCATTGCACTGAGGAAATCTGCTGCAAAGACCTTTTTAAAGTGCTAAAGAGTAAGATGTCTCTTTGAAGACTAAAGTGCGCCTAACCCAAACCATGGTATTTTCAATTGCCTCATACGTGTGTGAAAGAAGGGTGATGAATAAAGAAGATAAAAGAAGAGTTGATGCTTTTGAGTTGTGTTAATGAAGAATACTGAAAGTACCATGGACTGACAGAACAGCTAACAAATCTGTCCTGGAAGCAGTGTAGCCAGAATGCTCCTTGGAAGTGAGAATGGCCAGAATTCGTCTCACCTACTTTGGCCATGTTGTCAGAAGGAACCATTCCCTGGAGAAGGATATCGTGGCTGGTAAAGTGGAAAGTCAGTGAAGAAGGGGAAGACCCTCAATGAGATGGACTGACACAGTGGCTGCAACAATGGGTATAGCAAGGATTGTGAGGCTGGCACAGGACTGAGCAGTGTTTTGTTCTGTTGTACCTAGGGTGACTGTCTGTCAGAGCTGACTTGATGCCACCTAACAACAACAACATATGAAGTACTTAGATGAGCTGTCTCATTTACATTTCAAATGGTCATAAGAAGTTAGTGTTACTATCTTCCACTTTTTGATGAGGAAATAGAGTGTTAGAAAGGTTAATGGGCTTTAGCAAGATCACAAAACTGGACATTTCAGAGATGTGACTATAACCAGTTAAATCATACCACAAAGATTAATCTCTTAAGAGCAAAATGGTTTGAAAAGATCAATAAAATTGACAAACCACTGGCAAATTTAACAAAGGAAAAGAGGGAGAGAATACAAATAACATGAATAAGAAATGAAATGG